CCTTGTGGATTCTCAATACAAATTATTAAATAAAGATAAAGGCAAAACCTCACCTTAAAAAAAAAAAAAAAAAAAAATAATAATTGTAATAATTAAGTTTTATTTATTTTCTAACTAATATATATTTAATAAAAAAAATTAAATATAAAAGTTTCATATTTTTATCATCTATATTTGATATTGAACCAATCTATAAGTTAAAAAAAAATAAAATAAAATTGTCTTGTCTTTTCATCATTTTTTAATATTAATCAAATCTATGACTGCTAAAACAATTGAATCTTTTTTTAATAATACACAGAATTCTTCTGAATGCATTAATAATCAGAATCAAACTATCAATAAATTGAAAAATAAATAAAAAAACTCTGCATCTATTTATAATTATCTTGAAATACTGAAAACAATACTTGTATTTGAAAAGTTTGTGATAAAAATAAAGATGTTGTAGATAAATAGGATCCACTCACATATTAATACCAATAACATACTATTTTAAATAAAAATATCTAAATACTTTTAATTGATGATCTATGAGTCAACTAAACAAAACTCATAGTAAAACATGACTCAGATTACTATATAAATTACATATGACTTAAATGCCACGATCATCCAAGAAAAACTTTTTCTTATTAAGCTAATCAATCTTCTTAATATAGAAGATTGATTAGCTTAATAAGAAAAAAGTTTTCTTTGGATGATCATGGCATTTGAGTCATATGTAATTTATATAGTAATTTAAGTCATGTTTTATTATGAATTTTGTTCAGTTGACTCGCGGATCATCAATTAAAGTATTTAAAAAATCAGCTACAAAATTTGGTTGCTCTTCTCTATATTCAATGGCTAATAAGAATTATATAGAATTATTAGACTGTTATCTATTGAAGTTTATTATTATTAATCAATAGCCTTTATCTTTTTTGAAAGATAATTGTTTTGCTAAATTTGTTTCTGCCCTTAACCCATGTTACAAGATCCTCTATTATTAATCTATATCTGAAAATATTAAAAAACTATTCAAGTTAGAAAAAATAAAAATAAAAAACTTTTAAAAAATAATAAAAATAAATTAGCCTTTACCTTAGATATATGGATTGCATATACTCAGCAGCTCTTTCTTAGAGTCACTGTCTATTGGATCAATATCAAGTGGACATTGTGCACTATTCTTTATAATTTTATTTTTTTATATAATGTATATACTAGTGATTACCTTGGTGAAAAGATTTTTGAACTTGTAAAAGATTTAAAGATTAAAGAAAAGATAATTGGGTTCATAGTCAACAATGCATCTAATAACCAAACTTGCTTGTATTACCTTCAGCAACATATAAATTCTAAACTTATATATGTGCACTATTAACAAATATTCTAAATTTCATAGTAAAAGAAGGTCAAAAACTATATTTAAATCAAATAAAAAAACATCTTATCTGTATAATAAAATTAGTAATTTATCATTATTTTTAGAGGATATTAAAAAAATATCTGCTATTCTAGATTATCCACCTTTTTATTCTAAGCTTGATATTGATACAAGGTATAATTTTATCTACCTTATACTTGAATGATTTGTTGAAATTTGAGATGTTATTGATGGTTTTGTACATCACATCTAAATTTAAGAAGCAAATATTTCAAACAAAATAACTGAATATAATTAAAGACATATTAAATTTTCTTCAGCCTTTGTATGAAATGATATTAATACTTTCTAATATCTCATTGTCTTCTCACAGGTTTCTACAAGTAATCATTATTATTCTATTATAAATAATAATATATATTGTGAAATAGCAAAATAAATAAAAATAAAGTTGAAAAATTACTGGTCTCACCTTTTACAATCTTCTATGATTCCTGCACTCCTTGATCCATTAATTAAACTCAAAATCTTTAATGAAGAGGAATGCCAGTTAGCTATAAACCAATTGAGAATTTTTATATTCAATATATAATATTAATAAAATAGTTATATTATCTAAATAAAATGTTTATTAGATAGTTTTTGTAAATTAATTCAAACAAACAAAAATAAAAATAAAATAGAAGAAAATTTAAGAGATTTAGCAAATAAAATAGACACTTATCTTGCATTATTCTTAGGGCCAGATATAAGTCTACTAATGTGATATAAGCTCCATTCTTCTCATTTTCTAACTATAGCTTCTGTCACAGTAGATTACTATACACTTCAAGTTAAATGTGTTCTGTGTGAATGTGCCTTTTTCGTTGCAAATCATACAATTAATCTTACATAGAACCATCTTCTTGAACAAATAACTAGAGCTTCCTTGTGCTTAAAAAATTAGTTAGAAAACTAGTATTTTAGAATAAATAAAAATATGTATATAATTAGTATATATTATGTATAACTTATTAAAAATAAAAGTTATTGTTAAAAATTTTTTAAAAATAAATTTTTACAAATAAAATTTAAAGTTGCATATTTTACATATCTAGTAAATTTAATTCAAGTCAGACTCAGAACCAAATCTAGATTAAGACTCAATTTATGGAGTCAAATCTAACTAAACTGAACTTTTAACAGATGTTCTATAGAATAGGTGTACAAACTTTGCAACTCCACTATTAAAAAATTAATGATTACTAATTATTAGCAAAGCTTATTTCTTATATTGTTTATCTTTCTATAGAATATCTCTTTTAACATTCCTAGTAATAGTTATATTCTGGATAGAGATAGTAACAATATGGTTATGACTAGTGTGAAGAGTAAATTATTGCTTGTAATAGGTTTTTTATATTTAGTAGATCAGATATATATCTGTCTTAACAAACTTGGTGCATTTTAACATTTTGTATATAGTGTATATATAGTAAGGTTGCCTGCTATAATAGATTTAATAGAGTTGTAAAGTTGCAACCTTTTGACTTAAAGTTGTAATTTTTTGCCATAAAGAGGGTAATAGTAGTAATAGCTAGAATAGTTGTAATGGGTGTAATAATTATAATGGGTGTAATGATTGTAATGGGTGTAATAGTTATAATATTGTAATAGGTGTAATAGTTATAATGGATATAATAGTTTTAATTAGTATAATGGTCATAACTAATAAGTATTTGCTCAACGCAATTGCATTAAATTAGGAAGAATACACAATCAGTATATTAGCAGTTTTAGAGTTGTATCAATGCTTAATAATTATTTATTTCTCATCCATATACGTATATATATACTTGATCCTTTATTAGTGTTTTATATTAGTCTAATTACAGGTATAGCAATAGTAAATTGTTGGCCAGGTTTTTTATAAAAATTCAAACCCAATATCTCTTGAATGTATAATCATATAAAAATAAAGTTATACTTGCCAAAGCCTTCTTAACATGCTCTTTAAATGTTTTCTTTTTTATTAATAATTATGACACAATAAAATCTAATAGTAACATGTGATTATAAGTAATTTGAACAAATCGAAGGTTATCTAAATAAGTAATCCTTTAAAATATTGGCTTGTTCATGTGTATGATGCATCTAAAATAGCTACATACTTTATATATCTAAAATAGTGCTTAGCTAAAATTATGATTTAATGTATGCATAAAGATCTAACTTCAAGAGCTTAGTCAGATGCTACTTTAAATATATAAGGTATGTATATTCATATATACTAGCTACTTTAGAAAGATGACTACTTCAGAAGCAACATATATATCATGAATCAATTTCTTGTTTGATTATATATTGATATGTATATGTATAGTACCTAATATGTACATATATAAACAATATTAATCTTAAACGATAATAAGCATATATTGTAAGACTTATAATTTGAATATTTATAATATGAATATTTTATATAGCATAATAGTAAAGTGAAAGTAAAATAAAAAAATGTATAGTATATATAAGTTTAAAGTAAGAGGTAAAATAAGCTTTTTTTTTACAAGATCGAGAAGAGAGTTTTAACTATCACTATAATTCAGTAATTGATATACTTTATTTTAATTCATATCAATTTTTTTTATATTATATTTATTGTGAATTTTGTTGCAACAATTTCTTTTACATCATACTCACCTTGTTGCATATCATTATTAGACTTAATTTCATTAAAATTCTCACTTTCATAACTATTAAAGGACATAAAAACTGAAGATTTAAAATCAATAGAAGTTAAAATACTAAATCTAAATCTTGTTTATTTGGATAAAGGTCTTTAGCAGAATTAAGCATTTCAATTTCATTATTATTGGTTAATGTTTCTTCTTCAAATTTTTTAAAAACAGTTTCGGCAATGTTTGATATTATTTCAGAGGTTATATCTACAGTTTGAGTGTAGCGAAGTTGTTTTATAGGGTTTGATAAATTAAACTAATAAATTTTTGCTAATCCTTCTAATCGATCTATATTTAATCTAGTTCGATGCTTTTCATAAAACCATCCTAATGCTGAAAACATTTGTTCACAAAGTGCTGAGCTTGGTGTAATAGAAAAAAGTTTAATTGCCAAGCATTGTAAATGGTTAGGCGTAGCTTCAAATGTATTCCACTACATTAATAGTGTATCATTATCAATCCTATAAAGAGCAGTATAAGGATTTAGATTTTTATTTATATCTACTTTTTGCTCTTTATAAATTCATAATTGTGATATTAAAATTTTACAACTTTCTTTTGATTTACCCATTTTTTGCAATAATTTTTCAGCATAATTTGCAATAAGAGGAAATGTACCAAACTTTAATCCAATATCTTTATATGCTGGATGAAGGAAATATATAAGTTGATAGATAGGATCATTAAATACTTCAAACCGCTTATTACATTTTTTTAATACATTTATTATAAAATCTTTTATATTCATTAGTAGAAAGATTTTGAATTGCTACAGTAATTTTTACTAAATTAATATAACAGTCAGCAAGTGTAGAATGATTTGCTTCAACTGCCAAAATTGCTTCTTTAATTGGAAGTAAAACATCTGAAAGATATTGCATATCAGTAAAAAAGCTTTGACCACAAAGTATTGTTAAAACAACAGAACTAATAATTTTAGAGTGATTTTTTTGAATTTCTTCTAAACAAATTTTAAGTCGATCAATTGAGGAGAAACATTTATACATAGTTGTCAATCTTGTTTCTATATATATTTTAAGACCACCACTCCTAATTTGATGTAAAATTTTTTCTTTTAATATAGCTCTAGCTTTATGAGAATTTTTAAAAAAAGTTACTATTTTATTAGCATGTTGAATCATTCTTTCTGCAAATATATGCTTAATAATATCTTTACTAATTAGATTAAAACAATGAGCAATGCAACGAATATTTATAATATTTTTATATTTTAAGCAAATTATACTACATGCAGAAGCTACATTAGTTTCATTGTTACTGATTATTGCTGAAATTTTATCTTTACCAATATGATTTATAATTAATTCAATTTGGTTAGCCAGAAATTCTGCTGTATGAGATTGATCTGAATAATCTTCAAGTCCATAAAGATATTCTTGTTGTAATAGTGTCATAATAACAAAATTCTAAATTAATAGCCCATTAAGAGCAGTCCAACTATCCAGACCAATAGTAAGATTGCTTATATATTCTAAAATTTTATCAACTTTGTAAATAACTTTTGCAACTTCTAAATCTAATAAGCATCCTAAAAGAACCTCACATAATGGAATACTATAACCAGGATTTAGAAACTTTAAAGCACTTATAAAAAAAGGATTGTTGATAATACAAAAAGGAATACCATATATAACAAAAGCTAATGTAATAGCTTCATCAATTAATGATTGCATAGGTGCTTCAATTTTTGTAAAATCATACCAATTAGTTAACTCAGGTTGTTTAGTTTTTTTTTGTTTAACTAAAGATGAACTTGCATTTGATATAGATTCATCAATTAGAATATCATCCAAATTATTAACTATAATATAATTAAAATGACATCACCACTTTTCAGAAACTTTTTTACAAACTATTAGCAAGATGTGCTTGCAGGGTCTGTAGTTTGGCACATAGATAAAAGTGATCACAGAATGAAAAAGTTTCTTCTTAATAACCATCACCTTTAGGCTGACCTCTTTTAAAAAATTTTCAAACACCTGTTTGTGGACATTCTAATTTTGAATTATTAGAATTTCTGGACTCTGTTTCAGTATCAGCATCACTTGAATCATTAGTTTGATTTTGTTTTCATTTGCTCATTTAATCAATTTAAAAATTTTTCAATAAATTTATGAGATTTATTGTTATAGCAAAATTAATAGCGTTACAAGATTTTTATACTAAAATTTTATTTAATTAAGCATTTATATGTTTAAAATATTATTCTACGATAATAAATTGGAAAGCTTACTGGTTTGGTATAATAACTAGCTTTGCTATTAATTTGAGCTTATATAAGTCAAATGTATAAATTATAAATATATAAGATTTTTGTATACACAAGTTTAAGAATTAATTAGACTTTAATAAAAGGTATTTATCTTATACTATTTTCTACCTTTTTTCTAAAATATGTAAGCTTACATTTTAATTTATATAAAAGAATGTATTCTGATTCTATTTTATAAAAGTAATATAAATCTTGCATATTATTTTATAAGCTAGCATTGACAACAACATTAAATTAGATTTATCAAGATCTATAAAAATTTAAACTTTGCAAGTTTCATGATTAATATGGTTTCAGAAATTTGACAATAACAAATTCACAAAATTGCATAAGTTTGGACGCTCTACTATAGAACATATAATATAATATTTTTAATCTAGTTATTTAAAAATATCACAAATTTTAATTCGTTCTCATTATACAAAATTCTTGAATTATCAAAATTTATAAATGTTTAATCTTTGCAAGTTCCATAGTTAACATATCTAAACTTATGTGATTTCAGGAATTTTTATTGTTTAGACAATAACAAATTTCCAAAATTACATAAGTCTGGATGCTCTACCATAAAGTATATAATGTAATATTTATAATCCAGTTATTTAAAAATATTACAAATTTTAATTTGTTTCCATTATGCAAAATTCTTGAATTATCAGTAAGGTTATCCTCAATTCTTGTATATTAAGAGTTTTCCAAATATATTAGAAATTCCAGTTTGATCAACACAATTAACATATATATCTTATCAAATAATATATCATTATCATATTAAATAACGTTAAAGATGCCTCTAATTTTTTTGAAATTCTGAGAATCATTGCTAAAATCTTCTTTTAGATACACTCCTTAAAAAAACTAATACTAATCTAAATAATATACACCACATCTAAAGTATTGAACCAGTTCAAATATATACATATAGTACAAGTATAAGACTTCATGCAAATTAAACTATATCTTGTTAGAGATAAGCAAAACAAGAAGCAATATAACTGTATTTATTAGGATAAACTAAATTTAATATTTTCAATTGTTCAATAACTGATAAGACAATTTAATAGCATATATTTTAAACAAAAGAAACTGCACTTTTTAATTGTATTGCATTTATTTATTTGTTTACAATCTGTTTAGATTTTATTAAAATCAGAATAGTTAGATTATCAATAAAACAGGATTATTGCAAAGATTTATATTCATTATAGTACTTACAACCTATTATAGCACTTATAACTTATTACGATACTTACAACTATAATAGTATTTTTAACTATTATGAAATTTTACAGCAATCTGACATATTACAATTTTGAGTATCAGTTGTAATTAGAGTTGCAACCCGGGTTGTAATTCATAATATCCATAATTATTACTTATGGCCAGCAACCTTAACATATAGTATATATTTTATATAGTTAATATAGTAAACAAAAGTAATATAGTTAACATAGTGAACATAGTGCTTATATACTAATAATTGTAAAAAGATATAAAAATATCTACTTTTTCACTCTAATAAAAAAAACTTGGAGGAGTTTAAAGTTTTAAGACAAAGAAATTAGAGTATTTGACTTGTGATTTACTTTTATAGTATAAAACTCCAGAGAGTTTGAAGTTTCAAATTAAAGAAATTAGAATATTTAACCTGTAATACACTTGTATAGTGTGAAACTCTTAGAGTTTGAAAGGTTTGAAACAACTTGGTTGAAGTTTAATATTAGTAAAGTATTACTTTACTAATTCTTTTCCTGATAAGTGAAATTAGTAATTACAAAAGAAACTCATGACCAAATCTCATATTTTTGTATAAAGAGATTCGTAACATAATTCAAAGCTCTAATCTGACACTATTGCTAAGAAACTAATTAACTCTGATTACTTAGACAAAGTCTTTCTAAACTTCGATCATTGCTTTATCAATATTAGGATTAGATTTAAAGTAGTTTTAGTATTTCAGTTAGAGTATTTTAGTTAGTTTTATTAGTGTATAGTTAAATAATTAGTCTCTTTATACTGGTTTTAATTGGTCATAACTATGACCAATACTGGTTAGTTAAAGACTCTTGATTGACTAGTTAAAAATCTGACTAATAATAAAATTATTATCAAATTAATATAATAAAATATCCTTATATATTTTACTAAGCAAACTAGCTTTTGATTTTTAATAAATGTTGTAGAAGATATTCTTAGAACTTTAATACTATAAAAAACGTTGTTCTATTTTTTGTAAAAACTCCATAAATCTTTAATATAACTAAATAATCTTTATAATTTAAGGTTATAAATATTGTAAATATACAATATTTATAGACAAAACACAGAATATAAAACACAGATTAACATTTTTTTTATAAAGTAATAGTAATAAGATCATTAATTTGACCTAGTAGATTATAAAAAATTTATATTATATATTTTATAATTATAAAATCTTTTATAAAGAAAATTTTATAGTCATTAAATATAAAATACAAATATTTCATAATTTATCAGATCCAATTTAATAATTTTACTACTATTAAAATTTTAAAAATACTTCTAGCAACTTTTATTAGAAACTAAAGACTAGTTTATATAGTAAAACACCAAGATCAGATTGTATTAAATCTATTAATAGAAGAGCTTAATAGAATTATATAGATAAAAGGCTAATTTAACTCCAGCAATGTATAAAAAATAAAAATAAATAGGTTGTTGTCTAGAAAATTAGAACTTAGAGAAGTTTTAACCAAAATTAAAATTTTTATAATAAAAGTTTAGTTATTTATTAGTATATAATAATTTAGTACAATTTTGTATACAGTTTTTTATTTAAATTGATGTTATATTCTAAATTTAGATTGATTGTTAGTATAATAATAAAATTTTTATTTAAGAGGTAATCTATATATATATATATATTGTTCATTATAGAGTAAAAAAGTTTAATTAATGCTTTTTACTATTATGTTCATTTGGAGCAAAACACAATTATTTTATAAAAGTTGTGTATATATAAAAAATATATATACTTGATATTTTAAAGATAAAGGTTTTAAGAAGATTATATCTAAAGGTTTGTACAGATCAAAGTTAATATTATTTTAAATAATAACTTTAGTTTTTAAATTATTTGTCTCTAACATTACAAAAACCTTTTCAGATTTATTATAATAAAAATAAAAGTACTAAAATGCCTATATATCATTATATTTAATAAAATAAAGTAAGAGAAAATTTTCAAAATTATAATAATTCTATTCTATTTAATCATTTTTATTATATCTAACTACTATATTATTTATATCTTTTTTTAATTGATTGATAATTATTTCAATATGATTCATATTTATATTTATAATATTGGGATTTAATAATTCTGAAATATGAGTCACAAATAAACTTGGCATGATCAGAAATTATGAAATTAAATTCGATTATATCAAAGAATTTGATTATAGTAAGCCATGAATAAAACCAAAGAATAAATTATTTTTATTCTAGTCTCTACAGTTATTATAACTTTAAATATATTTGCATTAGATTCTAGATAAATAAACTATTATATACTAGATTAAGAGTAGTATTGGCACCTTTAGATGTTTTATTGACAATTGATGTTCACTAATTAAATAATTTCTTTGTATTATTGGTTTTAAACTAGTGTTAGCGATTTTAAAAACATGAACATTAAATAATAATCTAAAAATAACCCCCAGGCTGCTGTAATATATAAGAAATTAAAATATTTTGAGCCCAGTTATAACAGATATATATAACATTAGATATTGGTTGTTTACTAATATTGATATTTCATTATAATACTAACGTTTAACTGTTGTAGCTGCATGATAAAGAATATACTTAGCTTAAAATCTTTGTCTATTTTCAATATCATTAGTAATTCGAATTTTGGTATAAAGTTGTTAACATTTATTATATAGATTAGATACTTGAGTTATAAACTGAATATGAAGTACAACTTTTTTTTAAATTTGATAAAATAATCTGTAGGCTAGAATTCTATAGTCTTTATTTTTATTAGATTTAATATTAATTATATATTTCTTATAAAAACTAGTATATGTTTTGTCTTTAAGAATTAAAACAACAGATGTTAAGTTATTTTGCAAACTTTGGCCAGGTAAAGAAAATCTGTAAAGACCAGCATAGTTATTAAAATACTTGCTAATTTCTTGCTTTATTTGATTATAGCATGATTTGGTCAAATTGAATTATGTCCTGTGTTACTATAAATTATTTCTTTCATTTTATAACTTTTTATATATAAATTAATTTTATTAAGATGAAATGAAGAAATTCTGACTAGTATTAAATAAGTAGATAAATATATAAAAATGATTGTAATAATTTTGATATTTTATATAATTTATACTTCATTTTCTTGTAATTTAT